GAGGCAGAGGCCGGAGACTCGCTTGAGCCCAGGAGTTGGAGGTTGCTGTGAACTGTAATGCCACGGCACACTACCCAGGGGGACAGCTTGAGGCTCTCTCTCAAAAAAAAAAAAAAAAAATCCCAGACAGAAGCCAGTCCTGGACAGAGGCCAAGAGACAAGGAGAGACTCCTGAGACAAGGAGATGGGTAGTTCCAAGGCCTTTGGCCCCTGGGTGATTGAGAGCCAGAAGGGAGAATTCTCCTGGCCCCACACATGCCCAGCACCATCTGACTGGACCACAATATCCCGCAGCAGTCAGCCTTGGAGACAGCCTCAGTGATCCTCACCTTCTGGCCCCCACCACTGTGTGCAGTCCCCTGCCATAGTGAATCAGCAGCCTGTGTGACAAGGTGGCGTGGCAGGAGGGATGGTGTGTGATTCTTGTGGCTAATTTAGCGTCACAGCTTCTGCCCTCGTCTCCAGGCTCACTCACTGTGCAGTGAGCCAGACGTCATGCTGGGAGGCCCAAAAGGAGAACAACTGAGGCCTTTCGTCAGTAGCCAGTCCCAGCTCCCAGGCCACAGAAATGTGCCACCCGGGAAGAGGAACACCAGTCCCAGCAAGCCTTCAGCTTCTTCAGAGACCCTAAGACCCTTCAGAGACCTAAGTCTCAAACTGCAAGTTCACAGAAACAGTGAAAAATACATGTAATAAGTATTTGCTGTTGTGCCTTAGACTTAATTCTGGGGGTCATTTGTCATGCAGCAGGAGATAACACAACACACCAACTCACACAGAAGAGGACAGTGGTCTGTGGAGGGCTGGCAATGGTGTGAGGCATCCATGGTGGACGGCTCCTCAACCACAGAGAGCCATTCGCCAGTGTAAGGCAAAATCATTAAATTCAATAATCTTAGTGAAGTCACAGAAATTGCCCAGGCATTAAGGCTGTGATCCTGAGAGGTAGAGCCATTGTTTCCAGCAAGTAGGAAGGCGACACTGAAAATTTTATGAATGTGTGGACGAAGACTTTCTACCGGAATGCTGGCAACATGGGGCATCGTCAAGGTAGCAATCCAGCCGTCCACCCCGCTGCAGCCCAGTTCTGGCCGGCACCGCCCCAGGCCCATGCAGGACACTTTCCTGTGTGATACCTCATTTGTTCCCCTAAGTAGCCCCTCAGGGAGAAATCATGAGAGCCAAAGTGGCCGCAATGGCCAGTGCAGCTGGGCTTCAACCTGTCTCTGCCTCAAGTCTGGCTTTTCATCTGGCAGTGTGCTCACCACCCATCGAACAGTGTCCCAGCCCAGTTTCAAATCCTGCCACCCACAGGAGAAAACTTCCACCTCCCGTTCCTCTCATGCCCACACCAACCTCAGCTCTTTATTTACCCTGTCCTATGCCCACCTCCTGGCCTTGCTCAGCTGCCTCCATGCCTAGAATTCTCCTCACCCTCTGTGCCAAGGACCCCACCACTTGTTATAACATCTCAGGGCATTCTCCACATGTCCAGCAAGGGACAGTGTCTGTGTGTGCATCACCACATTCTTCCCATAGCAACACTAGCAGCAGAAGCAGACACACAGTGTCTAAGAGCTTTAACCACAAAGCCAAACTGTCACCACACCCTAGGAAGGAGCTACTCATCTTTGCCTATTTTACCAATGGGAGGCTGGGGTTGTGGATGAGACACATCTGTGTACAGACCCTGACCTGTTCCAGATCTGCTTTCAGAAGCCCACTCCCAGCGGGGCCACACACAGCAGGGTCCTCGTCACCTGGTCACTACCAGGGGACTCTGGGCTGTGAAGACTCTGGTAGGAACGGGAGCCCCCAGAGAGCACTGAGACTCCCCTCAGAATGCATCCCCAAAGAGCCAGGCCCCACGAGACAAAACGCACACATTCACTTTGACCCCAGAAGCTACGACCCACCTCCTTCACCAGCTGGCAGCTTGTCTACTTTGGACTTTCCAATTGTATGAATGGTCCTGTGTTACCCAAAGTAGAGGAGCATTATTCTCAGAAAGTGCAGCAGTTCCTCTAAGGAGTGAAACAGGGGCAGGTTCTAAAATAGAGACTCTCCACTCCATGCCCAGACAAAAACCAACAGGCAAATCCAACCATTTCTGGGTTGTTCTAAGGCTATGATTCTGCCTCCCCAAACCATTACTGGCGGACTTAAACTTAGATGGCATAAACAGTTCTGTAAATACGTTCATCATTTCCCGGCACTTCATTCCTTTCACTTATGTAGAAAGAATCCTATTCACCCTAAAGGCAACACGCCTCTCATTAAACAGCAAATCTCAAGCTCCATTATCCCTTCTCTTTTGCTCCCTCAAGGACTTGACAAATTTTTTCCTGCTGAAATCATCCAATCATCCTCCAAGCTTAAGGACAGAGTCCCCCAGAATCTAGGGCTGGGTTTCTCCACCTGTAACACAGTTCACTGAGAGGGCTCACAGAACTGCTGGTACATGTACACAGAACAGCGTTGGCATGACGCTCTATCAGGCTGTCATCACCCATTCAAAGTCCCTGAGGATACTGTTTAAATAGATAGATTCTGCTTTTTAAACTCTTGCCTAGAGGGTTTCTCTCCATTACAGCTTCCCTGCCTTCTGGACGTTGAGCACCCAGGATCCCTCATGATCCAATGCCAGGCTCTGGGGTTTCTGGGATGCAGACCTCGTTCTCCAGCCTTCAGGTGACCTTGTGTTCAGGGACTCCTGAGCTCCCCTGCTGAGACCCCCAGCCACCTGCATGGTGCAGCCTGCTTCCTTTTCGCCTGTACTATCCGAGGGTATACCCTGAGACACATTCCCCAGCCAGCCCCTGCACCTCACCCACACCCAAAACAATTACCCAGAGACACAACTTTGGGAACCGTTATGCACTTGTTGCGTAAGAGGAGATTTTAGGAAGTTTTGCTTCTCTGTTGGGTAACACGATGGTCGCTGTCTGCTGCCTCCTCGGGACTCATTTCCACTTTCTCCTTACCCACAGAATTTTATTTAATCCAGCTGTGCCCACTACCCCTGTACGATTCACAGAAAGGTCGCCCCAGGTGTAAGGTCAGATCCTGCTCTTAGAGGGAGTCTGCGGACTTCTAGGGTCCCCAGTCCCTGCCAGAAGGTTGACACAGTCAAAACCATTTTCTGAATTAGGCTAAGGTGTCTCTTGGTTTTTGTCTCATGTTGACATTGGCACCAATGGTACATCAGAGTCCAGCACCTTCACAGGCATGCAGTCAACAATACCAACCTGTACCAGCAGCCATTCTATTCTTTAAAAAAAAATTTGAGTTTCACTTGAGGATATCCTGAAGAAGCAACACAAATTATTAATTGACTAAATCTTGATCCCTGAATAAACATTGTTTACTG